CCTCGGCCTCCCAGAGTGCTAGGATTACAGGCGTGAGCCACTGCGCCCGGCCAGAACAATTTCTAATAGGCTAAAAATGAAAAACCCAGTAACAGGGCCTGTGGCCGTAGAATTCAGCATTACACCACTGCTGTTTTGGAATACAGTAAAATAGCACCCTTTGCACGTCACTGCACACTGCCTCCCAGCAGCCTGGGGTGGGCCACAGTTGGCCTAATGTTGGCTTTCAGAGACCAGCTCTTTCTACACTAGACATTTGGGACTCTGTGGACTTGTTTTCAAGGTTCCTCATGTGGAGATCACCTACCTTACTTGCATACCTGCGACCATATGGAGGGACACTGGTGGAGGGGGGCCCCGGTAGCAGAGAGCTCTCCCGTCACCTTGCCCTGGGCCCTGGCCAGCTTCACTCAGCCTTCCTTCTCCAACTCACTTCCAGATGCGGAGGGCCCAGTGCCCAAGCCAGATGCCCCGGCCCAGGCTGAGCCCAGAGAAGAGCCTTGTGTGTGGGAGCAACGTCACCCCGAGGAGAGAGAAATCCCCATGGATCCGGACACAGGTGATGGCAGCTGAAGAGAGTGCCAGGTGCAGGGAAGGGCAGCAGATGGGAGCTGGGCAGCCCGCAGCTGCTGCTGGGAGGCACTCCTGCCCGTGTTCAAGGGGGAGCATCTCTTGAGTTGCTCCCCGGGGCCAGTTTGGCCGTAGGTGAATTTTGGTGGTCACGTACAGGAAGATATCTCAGGGCCTGAAATTGTACCATGGCTACGTGTCTTTAGGTTTGGAAAAGCCATGTAGCTCTGGACTTACAGGTAAGCTGCATGGAGAGGTAAGGAAGGGCCTGGGCTTGTGATCCCTCCCGGCCCGAGGAGGGGGCCAGGAGCTGTCAAGGGAGTCTGCAGCAGCCCGGGGTTTCGCCCCGGCCCGGTGTTCGTTGCTCGGCTCTGATCTGTAGCGTGAGCTCCTCTCACGCAGAAACACGCGCATCCCACGCAGACTCGCCCTGCAGGGAGAGGGGATGAAGAAATCCAGTTCCCCGAGGACATCACACACGATGAGCTTTCACTGGGATGGGAGGTTCTGGGGTTCTTGGAAGTCTTTATCAGGGCCTCCACACTTCTGGGCAGTGCTGGGCGAGGCGAACGCTGTGGCCCAAGCCGCACTCTGTGCCTGATGGGATGAACTGTCACCTGTCTGGGCCTCTGTCCTTCCTGTGTTTAGGTGGCGAGCACTTCTGCTGAAACCTCTCTCAGGAGGCAGCTCTCAGGGCCACATTCTTCCTCCTTCTCACCAATCTTTCCCTTTTACTGGGATTTAATTTATGGACCATACAATTTAACTCTTTTAAAGTATGTGTTATAATTCAGTGGTTCACAAAGTTTTGTAACCGTCACCACTACCTAATTCCAGAGCATTTCCACCATAGGAAGCCCCAGACCCGTTAGCAGTCACTCCCCACTCCCTTTTCCCCCACGGCCCCGGCAAGCACTCATCTGCTTCCTGGCCCTGGGTTTTCCCATCCCGGACATTTCGTCTAAATGGCTCCTCCCCTGCCCTCGTCAAACACTGCAGGTGTTTATGTTCAGCAGCTGGGGTAACAGCACCTAGTCTTATGCGGTAGCTTTTTACGTTGAAAGTGCTGTAACCTCAATGGTTTCAGCGGGATATTGAGCCGTCACTGTGCACGAGACAGAGCAGGGATCACTGTGCCTATTTTGTAGACGAGAAGGGTAGACCGGAACCCAGAGAGGTCGAAGGGTTCGTCCACTGAGTCAGTGAGGGGGCTGGAAACAGGAACCCCATCTTCAGATTCTTCCTCCCATCGCTCTCCTGCCTCCTGCAGGGCTAGCGCACTGCATCGGGAAACAACTTGAGATGTCCAGTTTGTCACAAATTAGGATTCTCTGTGGAGGATATGTCATTGTCATTTATGTGCAGTAAGTCCTCACTTAACATCATCAGTAGGTTCTTGGAAACTGTGACTTTGAGAGAAATGATGTATAACACAATGGATTTTTCTTCCTCATCAACGTTACAATGAAACAACGTTGAAGGAAATGATGTTACTCGAGGACCTTCCGTATGTTGTATTGCTTGAAGTTTCCAAGAACCCGTTGACGACCGTTAAGTGAGGACTGGCTGTGAAAGGATGTTGTGCGTCATCCATCCGAGAACAGAGCTTGGTTGTGCCTCTTTGCCCTGCCCGACCTCTTACTGACCGTACACACACCCGTGGGTGTGCACCTGGCCACAGCCTGGCCAGCTCTTTCTTACGGGGGTGAAGAACAAGGTCTAATGACTCCTTCACGGAGGTCCAACTTGCGGCCCCGTCCTGATGAGCACCCAGCCAGTTACACAGCATGGGGTCATTTCTAAACTCTTTCTCTGGCCTCATCACACATCATTTTGCTGCCTCCATGTTCCTTTTTCTTGAATGTTCATTGCCTTTCTACTCGGAGACCTTCTGCTCCTCAGGGTCCCCCGTGGCTCCAACAGGAACCCGAGACCCCCGGACTTTACCCTGGCAAGTGCTGACAGTCACGCTCCTGACCCCAGAACACCCTGGTGACGATCGTGCAGAAAAAAGACACCAAGCAATGTGATTCTTTGTCCCCAGGAGCAGAGCCTCTGGCGCCTGCACAGGACGCATCCTCCCAGGTGAAGCGAGAGGAAGCCCTGTGTGTCCGGGGCCAGCGCGGCCTGGAGGAAAGAGCCATCCCCACGGAATCCATCACCGGTGAGTGAGCCACACAGCCGCCCAGACCACAGAGGCTTGGCGCGGTCTGCAGGCTCCTGGCGTCGTCTGTCTCATGTGCCAGGCCACAGGGCTGAGCTGGAAATGGAGGGGCCATGGGTCCTGGACTGGGCTGGATAGGATTCCTCCAGGGGACACGTACGTGGCACCTGGCACCGACGATGTGCCAGTCCACCTAGGGTTAGCTTGTTCTGTTTCCTCTGCTATTTGTACTATCAGTCTTTAGCTATTCCTCCTTCCCCTTTAAAAACAATATCCTGGCAGAAGTACTAAGTATAAGGTACTTTACTAGGCTTTATGGGTAGGGGAACAGGTAGGTCAGCAGGACCTGCTTCCTGACCAGGAAGACCTTTCATTGTTTTAAACAAGTATTTATGGGCTGCCACCGCTATGCCAGTACCCACCTGCCTGTGGTCCTGTGGGGAGTTGCTTGCAGGTGGTATTCCGGCTGGTCTCTGGTCGTCGGTGAGAACTCTGTTGGAGCAGATGTGTGCATGAGTCAGAATTCTCCAGAAAAAGAACCAATAAGAGGGTGTGTGTATATGTAGACGAGAGAGAGAGAGAGAGAGAGAGAGAGAGAGAGAGAGATTTATTTTATTGTAAGGAATTGGCTCACGTGATTGGAGAGGCCAGCAAGTCCAGAACCGACAGGGTAGGCTGGCAGGTTGGAGACCTAGAGAAGAGCTGACGTCGCACCTGGAGTCTGAAGGCCGTCTGCTCGCAGAACTGCCTCTTCCTCGGGGGAGGCCAGTCTTTTCCCAGTAGGCCTTCAGCTGGTTGGGTGAGGCCCACCCACATTAGGAAGAGTCTTCTGCTTCACTCAGAGTCTACTGATTTCAGCATTCATCTCATCTGAAAAATACCTTCATGGAAACATCTAAATGATGTTTGACCAAATATCTGGGTACTATGGCCAAGCCAAGTTGACACATAAAGTTGATCCTCACAAGATATATTAACATACTGTAGCTCTTTACTTATCCACAGGTTAGAGCTCCACAAACCTCATCCCCCCCCTAGTCAAAGCCTCAAACCCATAGGTAAGTGTTAATAGTGTCTGGGTAGAGGAAAGCCCGTTCACTTGTCATCAGGCATGTTACTTGAAACCATCGTGGGATTGCTATCTCTAGAGAGATCTTTGAGAGATAAGATGGCAATAAGGAGTAAATTAGGTTTAATAGACTCTGTAGAAGAAAGAAAATGTAGGATCTCTTTCTTACATCGTGGAAAAATCCCATTCAAATGATTAAAAGGTTTCTTGTAACATTATTTTGTACCCCATAAATATATACAACTATAATTTGTCAATATACAGTTTTTCTAAAAGGCTTCCTGGAAGGTGTCATCTTCCTAGAAAATCCCCTCATGAGGAATACCTCTTTGCATGGTGGTCTCGGCCCTAGGGCAGGAACCTCATTCTGAGGACGTTTAAGTTCCTACAGCACAGAGAGACTCTTCGTCTTAAAGTCACTGTTTTGTCACTCCTTGTAGTAGCCACTTACTTGCAGCAAAAGCTCCATTACCTGGGGCCAAGCTGACTTAAACCCTTATTTAGTTAATGAGGCTAATTTAATTATACCTAACGTTTAGGGGAAAGAGATAATTGCATGAAATCAGAGATTTACGCAAAACACAAACTTGCAGGCAATTTCCCGTCTTCTAATGCCTTTGCTGCTCTTGTCCCCATGAGTAGACTCCCCAATTTCTGCCCAGGACCTCTTGTCCCGGATTAAACAGGAGGAGCACCAGTGTGTGTGGGACCAGCAGGATCTGGCAGACAGAGATATTCCGACGGACCCCAACTCAGGTGAGAAAGGTGCCACAATGAACACTGAGGGAAAACAGCATTTTCAAACGGCATCACAGTTGATAATTTATTGTGCCGATGGAACTGATACTACAATTACTTCAGCACTGATTTTTGAATAATCAAAACAACCAAAGAGCTTCTAAAATCTGTGTATATTTCTGTCAGAAAGTCATTTACTACAACTATTAAGTACCCATAATAATTAAAAATAAAATATTTAAAAAATAAATGGGAACAATGTCATTTACATTTTCTGGAATTTCTCTTGAGTGAATACTAGTTGGATGTCTCCCAAGAAACTTCTGGGGAGGGTCCAGGCATTCAGGGAGACCTACCTAGAATAGTAGGGACCCTCCACCTGCCCAGGGCCTGTGTGTATGTCTGCAGAACCGGAGCAGTCCAGTGTCTTCTGCCTGGTAGTTACGACACCAAAGTCTCATCCTATGCCCCATACCAGAGAGGGAAGATGAGAAGTAGAATCTAGGATTCCTTATAGTTTGTCAGCTTTACAACAGAGAAACTGAGGGACCCAGGGCAGGCGGAGCATGGAGCCTTCTTGATAGAGTTGGCAGGTGTCACTGTGGTTTTCATCAGTGACTTCCAGTTGCTGCCTTTGCCATTGCTGATTTCTGAGTCATACCAATCAGCTGTGGCCCTGTGGGCCATCAGACTCAAGGCTGTCCTCTGGCCTGTCCTGGCCCCACCCGTTCCTCTGGGGATCAGTGGACAGATTCAGAAGACCCGGGTACTAATCCTGGCTCTGCCACTGTACGGACTTTGGGATGAATCTCTTCCTCTCTGAGCAACTTGGAATGTAGGAAACAGCAAGTGAGAGCCCATTTAGGAAGGCGGGTTAGAGGGTAAGAAGCATGGCCTCTCTGTGCAACACAGATACCACTACTGTCATGCACCCTGCGAGCTGGAGCCTTTACACGCAGTGGTGTTTGAAGCTTTGCTGGGATGCCGAGCAGAAGTGAACCAAATCTAAGACTGCCTTCTTTCTGTGACACAGAGTCTCTCATCTCAGCACATGACATTCTGTCATGGATCAAGCAGGAGGAGCAGCCATACCCGTGGGGCCCACGTGACTCAGTGGAAGGAGAGCTCGGATTAGACTCTGGCCCCAGTGAGTAATGCGCCCACCGGGACTTGGGGTGTCTCCCGTCCAGCTGAGCAGCCGAGGCTGAGATGAGGGTTGGTTGCCTTCCTCAGCCTGTCCCTTCTGGTGCGACTTTCTGTCGATGGCAGCCTTTCCGAGGCCTGCACCAAAGCACTGTCCCCTTTCTTTTTGGCGTGTGAGAACAGGTGTATTAGTTCCCAAGAGCTGTCATAACAAAGTGCCACAGACTGGGCGGCTTGAAAAACAGAAATTTATTCTTTCGCAGTTCCACAGGCCAGAAGTCCAAAGTCAAGGTGTTGGCAGAGCTGGGCGCCCTCTGACACCTGTAGGGGATTCTTCCCTGCCCCTGCCAGCGCCTGGCGGCTGCTGGCAATCTCTAGTGTCCTTGGCTTGTAGATGCATCGCTGCAGTCCTCTGTCTTCACTCGGCCTTTCTCTGTGTGTCTGTCCTCACATGGTCGTCTTCCTATAAGGACACCAGTGGTATTGGATCAGGGGCCCACTCCACTCTAGTATGACCTCATCTTAACTAACTACATCTGCGGCAACCCTGTTTCCAAATGAGGTCTCATTATGAGGTACTGGGGATTAGGACTTCAGCATATTTTAGGGGAGGACATAATTCAACCCTTAATGGCAGGGAAAGGAGAGTGGACTGGGGGAGTGATGAGCTGGGTGCCTGCGGCAGGGTTGGCGGCAACAGGTGGCCACATATTAGAAAACACCAGCCAAAGTACCTGAGCCAGCCCTGAACTGACATCCCTGAGTAACTGGTGAAGACACTGAAGCTCAAATAGAGAGAAGGGACTTTTTTTTTTCCCTAACATGTATGGAACCAAATGTCTCACCAGACTTGAGTCTCTTGGGTTTTTCCAAAGCTCCGCTTATTGACCTATGACCTCAGGCATATATTTATGGATTATTTAACACTCTTAGCATCAGGCTACCATTCCTCGCTAGACCCAATACAATCCCCTTGCCCTCAAGGCGGCTGGCTTAGTGTCCCCAGGGATTGATGAGAGTGTTAAAGGGATGGCTGAACACGTGTTCTCGTCTGTACTCCTGACACCATGTAAGAGCTTAAATCCATGTGGGAGCCGAGGACATAGGTTATTTCTGAATCTGAATGGCCATTTCCAACTCAGGTGAGCAGTTCATTCTCTCTGTGAGACAAACTTAGTGCATTTCTGAAAGAGCCAGGGTGGGCCTGGAGGAATTGGCCAGGGATGGTAGAGGAACAGTATGTGCCCTTGTTTGAGAGAACTGAAAGCAGTCCTCTTTGTAACCTGTTGGCGTGGTGGGGTGACATGGGGGAAAGCCAGAGGACTACCCTGAAGCACAGGGAGAAATGATAGTAGCTGACACCACTTCTTCCTCCAGGGCACCTGGGCCACCACTGCTAGCTCTGCCCTGAAGGCTCAGGAACCAGCCCTTCAGACATGGGCCAGGAAGGTCCACCCAAACCCTTGCTTGTTCCTCAGCGCTACCTCCCGATTCTTCCCAGTCGGCTCGGAGCGCATGGAGGAGGAGGAGCCTTTTCCTGAGGACCTGGGCAATGTGGAAGCCCGTGTAGGAAGGTCTGGGAGGAACTTACAGGGCTTTGCAAATGACCAAACCATTTTCCTACTTCAGTTTGGCTGCGATGGCTCGTGAAATTTGCCTCATGTTGTTTTATCTTTGGAAGACCTTCAAACCCTAGCATTTGGGAGGAAATGCCCAGAATTTGGGAGACAGGAGTATCTGAAATGCTTCTTTTGCCTGCCCAGTAGTCACTGCAGCCTCTTATCAGGGCCTCTGTTCTTTCTCCCAAAGTGAGCCTTCCTCCCAGTTATTAATGTTAGAATTTGAAACTGCTATCTCATCTGTGGTTTCTTTGAGGCTTAAGAGCAACCTAGTATTGTGGTTGCCAGTGACAACTGAGGGCGAGATGTGGTATTATGTGGAAGAGTCTTCTGAAAAGGGGATGGAAGGGAAGAGAGGTAGTGGGGTAGAGGGTAAAATGTAGAAATACATGAAACCCCTCCCTGCCAGCCTCCTTCTCTGGCCCTGGGATATGTAAGAGAGAGAACCGGTATCCTGCTTGACTCAAAGTCAGACCTCAACCTAATTGGACGTTGCATTTTTGTAAAAAGGATTCTGAATTTATATATTACTGAGTATGGAGTCTCTGCTGTCTCTGTTCTCAGTCAGTGTAAAATAAGAAGAAAATCCAGATCACCCTAAGTTAATGTGCCTGAGGCTCCATCGAAGCAGGAAGTGTGGATAGGACTTTGGAGTCCAGTGACTACCAGGTGCTTCCGGAGGGAGTGGTGGTCAGGAGCCTGGAGCTGAGCCACCTACCCAAATGTGATTTGAAAGCACCCACTGAAACGCCCACATTATTCACTGCTTTGGGTTAAAACAGTGTTTCTGACCTTTTTAGTTACTATTTATTTAGCAGATACTTACTTAGTGTCTGCTATGTGCTGTGCCATAGTATAAGCACTTAGAATACGCAGTGAAGAAAGATCTTTCCTTGTGTAGGAGGAGTTGGACAGAAAGCAAGACAACAAGCAGACAAGATAAAGTCTGGGTCTGGTGGCTGCTCGGAGGATGATGCATCAGGGAAACAGGCAGGTGGAAGTGAGGCAGGAGAGAGGGTAGAGGGGGCAGGAAAGGCCGCCCTGGGAAGTCACACCTGAGTGGGCCTCCGCAAGGAGAAGGAGCCAACCACGGGACTTGGGGAAGAGAAGACAGAGAGAGGAGGAGCAAGGGCACAGGCCACAGGGGCTCCGGGGTGTGGCTGGAGCTGTGGGTAGGAAGGTGCCTGCCACATACAACCAAGTTAGAGTTTGGATTTTATTCCGATAAAAGAGGAGACTAATAAAGGGTTTTAAACAGGGTAGTGACATGGGCTGGTTTACATTTTTGCAGGACAAGTTCAGGACAGGATTGGGGGTGGTGTGTGGAGCCAGCGCGGAAGTACAGGAAGCACTCTGGAGGCCAATGTATTTGCTACAGACCAGGTGGAGGGATGCTGGGTGGTCAGAGCTGGGATAGCAGCCACACACAGGAAAGAAGTAGATGGATTCGAGCTGCACGTTGAGAGTGTGACTGACAGATTGCATGCAGTGGGCAAGGGGTCAAGAGTGACTCCTAACGCCAGGCATGGTGGCTCACGCCTGTAATCCTAGCACTCTGGGAGGCCGAGGCGGGAGGATTGCTTGGGCTCAGGAGTTTGAGACCAGCCTGAGCAAGAGTGAGACCCCGTCTCTACTAAAAATAGAAAGAAATTAGCCAAACAATGGTGTGTGCCTGTAGTCCCAGCTACCTGGGAGGCTGAGGCAGGAGGATCGCTTGAGCCCAGGAGTTTGAGGTTGCTGTGAGCTAGGCTGATGCCACAGCACTCTAGCCCAGGCAAGAGAGTGAGACTCTGTCTTAAAAAAAAAAAAAAAAGGAGTGACTCCTAGGTCTAGATTCTGAAGAAATGGGTTAGTGGTGGTGCTATTTGCTGAAGTGCTGAGCCCTGGAAAAGCACCAGTGTTGCTGTGGCAATCAGTGTTCTGCTTTGGACCTATTAAAATTTGAGGTGACCCCACGTGGCAGTGTTAAGTAGATGAATACAGGAGTCTGAAGTTCAAGAGAGTGAGCTTGGGGCTCGACTGATTTGGGAGTCATAGGCTGCAGTAACTTCCAACACCAGCTGCCTCGAGCTGGCCAGACTTCCCAGGTCCAGGGCATAGTCCTCCACAAGACTGCCCTCATTTCAGACACCAGCCACAAGTTTGGGGGTCCCAGGCCACCCTTACTTCTGATCAGCTGGCTACAAATTCGGGAGTTCCCACTACCCCCTCAGGTTGAGTAATTTATTAGAATGACTCACAGAACTCAGGAAAGTGCTATATGTATAATTATAGTTTTATTATAGCAAAAGTATTCAAATCAGAACCAGCCAAAAGGGGACCCATAAAGCTAGGTCTGGGAGGGTCCTAGACAAAAAGCTTCCATTGTCTTCTCCCCGTGGAGTCAGGACATGTCACCCTCCCAGCACATTGATGTGTGACAGTATGCAGAGTGTTGCCTACCAAGGAAGTTCACCTGAGCTTTGGTGTCCAGAGTTTTTGTTGGGGGTTCTTTACATAGGCATGAGCGATCGAATCACTGGTCATGAGAGTCAACTCTGTCTCCACCCCTCTTCCCTCCCTGGAGGTTGGGCTGCAGGCCCCAACCCTTGAATCATGGGGTTAGTGTTTCTGGCATGGCTAGCCTCGATCCTGAGTCATCTTGTTAGCTTCAATCCTCTATTCATGGGCCCACCATGAATAACAAAGACACTCCTATCACTCAGGAAATTCCAAGGATTTAGAGGCTACTTCCCAGGAACCAGGGACAAAGGCCAGTCAAATTATTACACATAGGTTGTTTTAAGGCTGAGGACTGGATGAGCTCCAAGGACAAAGAACTAAAGAGATCCCAGGTATGAACCTAGAGGAAAACCAGAAGAGTGTGGCCTCACAGAGGTTAGGAGAAGAGACTCTTTCAGCAGGGAGGGAGGGAGTGTTTAACCCTGTCAGTTGCCAATGAGGGGTTGAGTATGCAGGACAGGGAAAAGGCTATTGGATTTGGGGTGTTGGAGATCGTTGGTGACCTTGACAAAAGTTGTTTTGGTGGAACAGTGGGGACACATGCCCGATTGTAATCGTCTGAATAGGAGGTGAAGAAGTGGTAAGAGCAAGTATAGGTAACTGTTGGTGCATCTTGCTATGGAAAGGAACAGAGAGATGACATGAGATGAACAGGGGTGAGGGGCACATGGGTCTAGAGAGGGTGTTCTTTTAAGTTGAGAGATAGCTAGACCATTGGGTCTGGTAGGATGCTCTCAACTGCTTTAGAACCCTGATTCAAACTGCCTTAAAGAATAAAGAAATTTATTCTCTTACGTAACTAGAAGTCCTGAGGTAGTCAGGTTCAGGTTCAGTTGGTTCAAGGATTCAGCTATGTTTTCAAGGACCCAGGTTCTTTCCAACTCTTTGCTCGGTCATCCTTGGTGTGGCTTCATCTTCAGGCTGCCAGCATGAAGGCTGCAGCTGCTCTAAGCTTCACATCCAGACCCAGAGGAAAACGGAAAGCCATCTTTTCCTGCACACTTTAAGGAGTGAGGAAACCTTGCCAGGAGCCTCCCAGCAAACTTCTCACACCTCATTGGCTAGGGCTAGGTCACATGCTTATATCTGAAGCCAATACCTGCAGAAGACTGGAAAGGAAACACCCTGTGGGGGCGGGGCTAGAGGAGGAGGTATGACGTAATCCTGGAAGAGTGGACAGTTAGAACACACTGAGTGAGACCTGGGCCAGGGTGCCAGGCTATGTGGAGGCCCCTCGTGAGGTTTGTGCAGTTTTCTGCAGCAGCATTCAGCTCCCCGAGTGCAGTCACAGGACTGGGGTTCTCCAGGCAAGCACAACCGAGGAGAGGGGAGAAAAGGCAATAAGGGTGTTTGCCAGCAAGCGATTGTGGTGCTGGATCGGGCACCAAGTTGCATCAGGAAGACAGAAAAAGGGCACGGAGCATGGCGGGACCATGAGAAAATGGATCGAGGTTCACGCTGAGTTGGAAAAATTATCAGAGTAGATTGTCTCAGGCTGGGTTTCCTGGGAAACAGTCCCTGGAGGTTTACATGCATGTGTTTCCTTGTGAGTCTTCTTGGGAATAACACCGATGAGGGAGTGAGAACTAGCAGGATTGGGGAGCAGGAGAAGCAAAGACCCACAGTGCAGTAGCCACAGAGGCCACGCAGATCTCACAGGACACTCTGGAGCTAGGATGACCCTCCTGAGACATCTTGAATTGAAGTGAGAATTTTTTTGGCCTCTACCCCCGCCAGTGTCTTACGGAGATGGTTCTGTGCCTGGTCAGCTTTGATTGGGACAGAGGGAGTGCTGGGCCCAGTCTGTGTAAGGGTATTGTTTAAGGACAGGCCTCAGTCATAACCAGTGAGCATGGTGGGTTGGTGGAAACATGGCAGACGTGGCTAGAGAAGTGGCCTCCAGGGAGGAGGTGGGCCCTGGGCAGAGGCAGGTTGGGAGCACAGAGAAGAAAAAAGGATTCCAAGAAGAGGTGGGGGCAGATGCAAACTTCACTTTCTTCAGAGTTCTTCCGCAGGCTGCCCCAGATGTGGGAGCCATCTTCTCCAGGGAGAAAGGACTTCAAACTGGAGGTGGGGAAGGTGATGGAGGGTGGAGGCATAAGAAGACCCCCAGATAGCATGCTGGATGGGTTCACTGTCAGCAGTGGAGTTCTGGGCCTAAGGTCACCGTTCTGATGCTCAGGCCTGGACTTTGTCTGTCACTGACCTCCAAGGTGGCAGAGAGCTGTGCACTCGTGGCCTGGAGACTCTATGATGCAAGGAAAAGGGCGGTGGGGAAGGAGCCACACTTCCCTGGGTGGCAGTCGGGGCAGCCACTTCCACACAGGGTATGGGAAGGTCCAGGTGCCATCAGGGCCAAGGTAGGACTCACACCGTCCCGGCTGCCCACCCTGCCCAAGCCAGATGCCACTTGCTCAGTGGAGACACGGCTGCCAGTCCGCCTGGTGCTTATGGTCCCAGCTCCCTGCATCCCATTCCTGTGGACCTCTAGCCAGGATTCACCTGGGATAAGTCCTGGCAAGTTTTTTCCCTCCGGGTGAGAGATTCTCCTGAGATAAATTAGCATTGTCCAACTACAGTCAAGTCTTGCTATGTCTGGACAGTTCTACCTTCCAAAGTGACTTCTGGATATCCCGCTACCCCCTAACCCTGAGCATTCTGCAGGGGTGTCCTGCTCCTCCTGTGTGCTACCTGCTGGTCCTGCTTCTGGGGCTCCACAGCAGGGCGGCTTTGGGCGGGCTGGGGCATGCAGATCGTGACCGCTCGTCTTGTTCAGTCCCCACATTTTGTTGAAACCGAGGCCCAGAGAGCACGTGACCTGGGCCCCCTCGCAAGGACAGTGTGGGTCCTGGGCGAGAACACTGTCAGCATGTCACTTCTTCGTGTCTCCCCCAGGTGACAGCCTGCTGATGGTGAAGAACCCGCCCCCGGCCCCGCCGCAGCCCCAGCCCCAGCCGCAGCCCCAGCCGCAGCCCCAGTCGCAGTCGCAGCCGCAGCCGCAGCCGCAGAGCCTACCCCCGCTCGCAGTGGCCGAGAACCCGGGCGGGCCCCCGAGCCGCGGGCTGCTGGACGAAGGCTTCCCGGCGCTGCCCGGGGAGCGTGGTGCCGGCGAGGCGCCGCCGGGCGGGGAGGGCGGCGCGGGCGGCGGCGGCGCGGGCGGCACCTGCGGCAGCTGCTGTCCCGGCGGCCTGCGGCGGAGCCTGCTCCTGCACGGCGCGCGCAGCAAGCCCTACTCGTGCCCCGAGTGCGGCAAGAGCTTCGGCGTGCGCAAGAGCCTCATCATCCACCACCGCAGCCACACCAAGGAGCGGCCCTACGAGTGCGCCGAGTGCGAGAAGAGCTTCAACTGCCACTCGGGCCTCATCCGCCACCAGATGACGCACCGCGGCGAGCGGCCCTACAAGTGCTCGGAGTGCGAGAAGACCTACAGCCGCAAGGAGCACCTGCAGAACCACCAGCGGCTGCACACGGGCGAGCGGCCCTTCCAGTGCGCGCTGTGCGGCAAGAGCTTCATCCGCAAGCAGAACCTGCTCAAGCACCAGCGCATCCACACGGGCGAGCGGCCCTACACGTGCGGCGAGTGCGGCAAGAGCTTCCGCTACAAGGAGTCGCTCAAGGACCACCTGCGCGTGCACAGCAGCGGCCCCGGCCTCGGCGCCCCGCGGCCGCTGCAGCCGCCGCCCGAGCGAGACTAGGGCTGGGCTGGGGAGGGGCGGCCGGGGTCTTGGGCCGGGCCCTCCCGCCCGGGCGTTCTCGGCGCGCCTTCCCGCCCTCCACCGGCCACCTGCTGGAAATCGGGAACAGGAATTGCACTCCAGATGGGGTCCCCGAGGGCTGGGCAGGGGCACCCCAGATCCGTCTGGTCGGAATGGACAGCCCAGCTCATCTCATTGGGTGGACCGAGCAGCTGGGGAGGTGCCAGAGGGACAGCAAGGAGGTACTATCCTCAGGCCACCTGGGCCACAGATTGTGATCGGGGGAAGCAACCAGGGAGTCTGGAAACCCTTCTTAGGTAAGGAAATAAGGTCCTGAGGTTAGGCGACGCCCTGAAAAAGGAAGCGAAAGCCTGACAGTGAGCTGAGGGATGCGCTAAGGGTAACATCTTTATGATGACAACACTGCCTCGCGTTTGAATAGCGCTTTATACTTTTTTAAAAGTGTTTTCTATCCGTTATCTATTTTCACCCTTAGCCTATCCCTCTGAGACAGGTGGGGTAGGATTTTCTTGGTGACTGAGGAAACTGAGACACAGGTGAGGTGGTTTACCCAAGTTCACGCATGAAAAGGGGTACAGCCGCCCAGGCGCCTGCCCCAGCGCAGTGTCCCCACCACACAAGCTGCCTACCTCGGTGGTCGGAGGGACCGCTCTGGCCTGGCCTTCCTGGGCTGTCTCCTCTCCCTTTCCTCCCCTTGACCCACCAACACAAAACAAAAAACTCCAGAAGCAAGAGGGGGCAACTCATGGGGTTACTGGGAATGGGGGACAGACTGGCTACAAAACATCCCAGGTTATGCTTCTGGAAGGCTCTTTCTAGGTGAGAGCTTCTGGGTGGCAGCCCCCAAACCCCCAGCCTCGGCTTCCCACCTCCAGTCCCTCAATCTGGTGCAGCAGGTCTTTGCACTGCACAGTAGTGCCCTGGCCCTCCAGAGGCAGCTGGTGCCCTGGGTCAGACCTCACCTTGGTGATTTTTTCCAGTTTCCCCAGGGCAGAGGGGTGAGGGAGAGGCTTTTGCTGCAAGAGCAGCTACCAGGAAAGTGAATCTCTTCCCTGGAGTGCTGGGCAAGTGGGTGCTAGAGTGTGAGCCTCAGTCTCTCTGCCCTGGGCCTCCCAATTGGTGCTATCTGTTAACTGACCATGCTCCTGGACATGGACACAGACCCTACTGTGGTCCGGACCCTGCAGGCGCCTTGGGAAGCGCCCAAAGGACTCCCTTTCATGTTGGTGCATCTGCTTCGTGGCTCCAGGCACCACGTCCCGAGGAGCCACAGTCTCCATTTCAGCGTCTTGCATGGCCAAGCACCGGGGTGGGGTGGCATGCCCTAGGACCCTGTTCTGTTTGTGTCAAAAATGACTTTCTTGCTCTTCCCGCTTCTCTCCCAGCCAGGGCACAGTGGGCAGCCGGCACTTGGCACCACTTTTGTGAGCTCTCCGCTTCCGCCCTTGCCCTCATCGCGCTGCTCTGCTTTCCTCAGAACCATTTTTGCCGTGCAAAGGGAATTCTTGAAATTAAATAAAAGGTATCCAGATTGCAGACTGCATGTTCACAAAGCCAGGGGGTTCTCCAGCTTGGCTTCCTACAGTAAAGCCTCAATGAACTGGAATCCAATTAACTGGGATTTTTTTTTCTTCATTCTGCTTTTTGAGGAAGGCAAATCTTAAGAAAACAAGTTGAGATGAGAAATTAAACATGGAAAAGGTTTAGTAGAGTTTTGTTAGAGCAGAGACCCTCCAGTTCAGTGATTGGTTGGGAGAGGACATTATGGTACTTTTCAAATGCATACACAAAATATTTTCATAATCTAAATCATGGAAAATAAGATCAAATTTTGATTTGGCTGTTGGGAGTTCGAGGAACGGGAGAAATCACTGAAATGTGTTTGAAACTTCGGAGCACACAGCTCAGTCTGATCCCTTGATTTTACCCCCAAGGCGCTGATTCCCAGAGAGGTTTAGTAACTGAGCTAGTGATGGCCAAGACTGAGTCTCTGGTTTCCTGGGTCCTAGGTTGTGGACCCCACTGCACCATGAGTCGCCCCAACTCCCAGCACAGGTCCCGGGAAAGTCCCATAGTGAGCTCTACCCCCGGATCTGATCAGAGACGGTGACGCTCAGGACGTTGGCCCCTGCATTTTGTTCACTAAATTACCTCTGCAGTGTTCGGTACATGTGTAGTCACGGTGGGTGCTGTAGGGGTGCAAGAGAGTGGAATTGGGAGACCCACATGAAGAGGAAACTGGCAGCCCAGGGCAGCAGTTTGCTTGACAGTGGAGTTGCTATGAGGAGTAGGAGTTCATGATACCATAAGTATGAGATGAAACTTCGTGGAAAAGTCGGGGCTTGAAGGTTGAGTTGGAGCGGGCAGAGGGAAAGAACGGAGGAGGCAATGTGGGGTGAGAGTGAAACAAGGCAGGGAGACAGGAGCTGGGACTGTAAGGCGGGAGACTGGTGTGGCCAGTCAGTGGGCGCGGGCAGTGACGACATTACAGATGGTATAGCTGGGCCGTGGAGGTCCTTGAACACCGGGACCGTCCCATAGACAGGCTGCCAATTAACCTGGGGTCCACTGCTGCATCCTCTTCAGAGCTCCGTAGAAGCAGAGTGCAAAGCTCCAAATGGAGGTCAGAGAGGATGAAATGGAAGTCCTGGGAAAGCAGGTTTAAGCCAGACTCCATTGGAAATGAGAGAAACCACAGGCAAACAAAGTTATTTTATGATCAAGGATTCGGGCACCATAACTGGCTTGGTGAGATCTGACCCCTGGGTATTGGGTACAGGCGAGGAGCAGGGGAAACGTCGGGAACTTCACCCCAGGCCCAAGGGTAACCAGCCTGTGCCTGTAATTTCACAGTATTGGTTCATCCAATTGTTATTGTTGTAAAAACATGCAATGGAGCACCCTATCGCCGCAGGGCCTGGTCATTAGTAGACAGTGGGATAGTTTGGGGGAGGCCACGACTTTCATTCCACCCCCCACTGACTCCTAGGGAGCCATGAGGGAGGGCTATCTCTAAACCAGTAATGCTCGAGAGGAGGGGTCCTGGGTGTGTGTCAGAATCACACCCCCCACCCGACCCTGGTGAGATTCCTGTCCCAAAGGCTGAGGACCTCTGTTCAAACCTCTTTAGATGTATTTTAAACCCGTATCACCCCTCAGCCTAATCATTTCTATAGGTTTACCGTCTCCTGTTGTCACAGACTGCCTTTGTTTTTTTCTCCCATTCAAGAGTCAAGGGAGAGCCTGTATCCAGTATTACAAGTGTGAAGTGTAAGCCAGTGCTGCTTACCTGGGTGTCCCACACCTTTCGTCCCTATGGGGTTGATGTCCTTTAGACCCCATCCTACAACAGTGCCCAAAGCGGTCGCCGCCACCCACTTCTCGAGGATGTGGGACTGAGGAGAGGTTCATTTTCCTTCGTCAGCTTGTCCTTCACTGTCCTGCTATCTGGATTCTCAGATGCACTGCATCTTCCTGCATGGCGCTGGGCTCCTCTCGGCTCTGCGCTAAGCCTGACGGTGGTGCTCAGTGTGTTTTACTTGTTTGATTTCTGCCTTAAGACGCTTCTGCGTAATAGACATTTATACTTCCGAGGTTATAGAAAGGGGCTTATGTCAGTCTAGGACAGCAAAAGACCTGAAATTAGACCTAACATGTTAGTTCTCTGTGTTCTTAAAAGACCTTTAACTAGCCAGGTGTGGTGGCTCACACCTGTAATCCCAACACTTTGGGAAGGCGAGGTGCATGGATCACTTGAGGCCAGGAGTTTGAGATCAGCCTGAGTAACATCAGGAAACCCCCCGCCCCACCCCGCGCATCTCTACAAAAAAAAAAATTAGCTAGGTATGTTGTGGGGTGCTTATAGTCCTGCTACTCAGGAGGCCAAGGCAGGAGGATCTGCTGAGCCCAAGAGTTGGAGGGTTGCTGTGATTGCACCACTGCACTCCAGCCTGGGTGACAGAGGGAGATCATGTCTCTTAAAAATAATTTTTTTTTAATTAAAAAGAAAACCTTCAACCATCTTGCCATCAGGAATTTCTTAGAATTTGCCATCGTCCTGGCTGGATCTCTGCCTCTCTAGAGTAGCTCTCTTGCCCCATTCTATACCCAGAGGAATTCCCAAATCCTCACTTCTTAATGAGAGCAACTTCCTTTTACCTCTGCTCATCTTCCACCTTTGGCCATGCCCTCGGGCCTCTTTTTTCCCCCACAACTAACATGGTCTATAAAACTCTGGCTGAACAAAACACTGTTCTCTCCCGAGGAGGAATTCTATACCAGTTTTTAATCAATCAATTAATTAATGAAGTTTTGAATATGTTTTACATTAATACATTCAAAATTCAAAATGTGTAAAAGGATAGACACTAAAAAAAAATTCCCTTGTCCCCTAGTCACCTAGTTCCCTGATGTGGAAGCATTCAAGCTACCAGGTCTCATATATATTAATACTTCTGTGGCTATGTAAACACACATACATATATATTCTAATCTTCCCTCCTTTTTTTGCAGAAAGGGTACAATACTGTATACTTTGTTCTTCGCTCTGCTTTCTTTCTTTTTTAAGGTATCTGGGAGATCATTCTGATCAGTACCTAACTTCTCTTTTGCAGCTGCATGGTTTCCATTGAATCGATGGGCCTTATTTATTTTACCAGTTCCCTGTTGATTACCTTCAGTGCTTACAGGAGCATTTTTGTCTACACTGCACGTATGGTGGCTGCACAGATGTTTAGCCTGTCAGCGGACGTTGTCTCTAGTCTATCGCCTACTGCCCGTGCTCGTACCCTGTGCTCCGCCAGGCCTGTCTCTTGACCACTTCCCCTCATTTATTCCCACCTTGGCCCTCGAGGGGAATTGGGCCTGAGAGACCCCAGCTCTGCTTCCACCTTGTCCCTGTCTCCCTACTCCAGGTCATGTCCTCTCCTGATTTCCCGTAGAGCCTTTAGAGGTATCTCTATATCCAAGGAAGGTGCCAGGACGGGAGGCACTCCTTTCGTTCTGGGACCTTCCATTTGGTTTGGCTGTACTGAGAGCTGTCCATACTCTTATTAGTCAATGTGCTTCTGGTTGCAACCCACAGAAGCTGACTGGTTAACCAAGGAGAAAGGGGAACTTTCTGGAAGGAACCTGGAATTATTCATAGACTTAAAAGAACAGTTTGAGAACCAATCTTGAACACAGACAAAAATGTGTCTGTCACCTCTGCTGCTTTCTCTGTGTTGAGATCACTCTTACCATTCCTTCAAACCACCTTACTCCAAAAAATGGAGGACAAGACTGTTCCTGACTCATATAGTTTCACTAGGGAGAAAATTAGCCTTTTCCTTCAGCTCAATTAAAAGAATTTCAGGTCCAACTCAGGTCACATGCCCACCCTGGCTTCATCATTGTGGCCAGGAAGCTAGGGTGTTGTGATTGGGCTGGCTCGAGTCACGTGCTCACCCTCCAAACATCACCGATACCAGGCTGGAGTTGCCACATAGGAAGATGGCAGCACACATTTCAATTGTATGGCTAGAGCCCAGGGAGGAGCATTTCCTGACTGGAGGGAGGTTTTATGCCCAGAGAAAGGGAGACATGCTTGGCTGATGAAGTTCATGGGTGTCCACTATAGACACATATACAGCAGGGGAGGCACCTTGGGCCAAGGTGTGGTCATCCTAGGATTCTCATTGACCTGGAAGCCGAGGAGGGCATCTTCTTTAGCTGGTTATTAATGTGAGGGAAGGAACACACAAGACGTGGTCCCTGCCATCTAGGGACTTGCAGGGTAGTAAGGGCAACAGAACAGAAAGAAACTCAACTGAGTAAAATAAAGCCATTGTTTACAAACTTCCTTGAGTAAAAAATGTTTAGGCATGCATATATGTACATGTATGTGACAATATGTATGCTATAAATCATACATACAATAGAAAGTTTAAGAATAAGAAATATTTTAAAACCATCATTTTAACTTAATGTATATCATTTGTTTGGGATTCTAAGAAGAGTGTTTTTGTTTTTGTTTCTTTTTCTTTTTTTCTTTCTTTCTTTTTTTTTTTGAGACAGAGTCTTGCTCTGTCACCCTGGCTAGAGTGCAGTGGTGTCATTGTAGCTCACTGCAGCCTCAAACTCTTGGGCTCAGGTCCAAGCCTCCCAAGTAGCTTGGACTATAGGCATGCACCACCACACCTGGCTAATTTTTCCTATTTTTAGTAGAGATGGGGGTCTCACTCTTGCTCAGGCTGGTCTCAAACTCCTGACCTCAAGCAATCCTCCTGCCTCGGCCTTCCAGAGTGCTAGGATTACAAGCATGAGCTACCAGACCCGGCCCAAATACTTTTTTCTTTCACTAAAAATGAGAGTGTGGGTGAGATGATATGGAAGGTCACTTTCAGCTTTGCATGTTGCATTCTACAGATGTAGAGATGATAAGGTAAAGTACTAAGAGCATCTGTTTTCTTGATTTCTCTAATACCACTGCCACCAATGGGAATAATTGTGAACCTCATTTAAAGTCTTTTAAAAGGGATGTATCAAGATTTGAGAGTCAGCAGGAAAGGACAAATGGGTAGCTTTTAAGAGACACAACAAAATGACATTTATCTTGGTGAATTCATTGCAATACAAGGCTTGGACCTTGCAAAACAAAAGCAAAGCAGAAACAAGAAATGGCCTGTTAGTGAGTGTGTGCTGTATGCTGTATGGCTACATAAGCACTTTACATAAATTATTTCTTTTAGTTGCATCAACCACCCTAGAATGAGGTGTTCAGACTCTCAATGGGAAGGCAAGGACACTGGGGCAGAATGAGCATAAGCCACAGACCTCTCAGCAAGTGAAGGAGCTGGGACTCAGAAACTAATAATGACTACGAGAACTCCTTGAGATCCTAGTCTGTGACAGATGCTGTTCTAAGTACTTAAATTGAATTGACTCATTTAACCCTCACAACAACTGAGCTAAGCACTATTATTATTCATCAATAATAATGAGGCAACAGAGGTACTACGAAGTTAAAGATTTGCCCAAGGTCCACATCTAGTAAGTGGCAGTTCTGGGCTAGGGACCCAAATGGTCTCACTCCTCAGCCCCACTGTTCAAATCCCTGTGCTACGCTATCTCCGCCAGCCCAGGAGACTGCGAGCCAGTGCCTAGCGCTGCCTCCCTTGTAGGCTGGAAATTTGATCTAAATCCTTTTCCAGACTTCCAGGCTCAGAATCAGGGATGCTGAATCATGCTGACTCTCAAGATACTGATATATAAACCAGAATATCAGTTTAATAATTTCCAGGGGTGGACTGGACATTTGAATCAGCCTGGTCCACATGTGGTCTCCCAGCAGGTACGTGGGAACCTGCACCGTCAGGTTGCTTGGTGAGCACAGACACAGAATAGAGGGAATGAGCTCTGTCACTGAACAGTTTAATGACCTCAGAATCCTATGTCCTGATATGTCTGTCTCCACAATTGTGCTACATTTTTTTTCATGTTCCTGGGAGCAAGTGTTTATTGGCCTGAGAGAGTAGGTCAGACCCTGGGCAGTATCTCCATGGCTGACTAGTTTCTTCAGGCTGGCCCATTCTTTCTTTATATTTATGCATGATTCAATCAAGCTCCTATCAATCTTGTTGCCCTGGAAACCATGGTTTCTCTTCGAGATGACTTTTCCTAGCCTTACTCTCTGATTCACCATTCAATCATTGAGAAATATTTATGAGCACTTCTGTGTACAATAAATGGAGGATACAGTAGAAAGACATTTTAGTGGAAGAGACAGATAATTAACATGTAAACTAATGAAAAATGAGATTATTTGAGATAATGATAAATGCTGTGAAAAATTCCCAGCAGGGTAATGAAATTGAGTGTTAGGATGCAAGGGAGTGTTGAGCTGTAGACAGGGTGGAAAGGAAATGAGTCTCTGAGGAAGTAGAATCTGAACTGAACCTGTGTGCAAAGAAAGAGCCAGTCACATGAAGATAATTTTCTTTTGACCTTAAGAGTTTAGTTCTCAGAGGAAGCACTTCCTGCCTATCATATGAAGTGGAAGTTCATTGCCCCGTCTCTAGAGATACAACGTGGCATAAATTAGGGAAGTATGGTTGTAGTAGTGTTGCTGGTATTGGGTGTTAAGTACATCGTGATTAAATGGTAATGTGGCCATGCTTTCCAAACTGAAACTGCAAACACCTAGTCCAACATGAAGCGTGAGGACTGGAAACTTTTGATATCAGAGCTATCTTGGATTTTCCAAGGCATGTGATTACCATAATTAATCGGCTACAGTGGGTTGGCCTGAGCACCTGACCCCATACTGTTGATGTGGAAACTGTGTTTCTAGATTCTGAAAAGGCAAATAAATAACAGGTGAACTTTTGGAATAAAACCACTTATCACTTGGGACTGTATCTCTTTTCCCCAACTAGATTACATGTTCTTCTCTCATAAAAAAGTATGAGTTTTATACATTGTTTAATCCCTCAAGACATTTAGCGGAGTGACGGGCACCCAGAAGACACGACATAAGCCCATGGGTTTGCCTTAATTCCGAAGCCGCACTTGACTTTGAGGGCATAGAGCCCTCTCCCTACCCTATTGTGGCGTGGAGCGCCACGCTGCAGCTCACCCTCCTGCCGCACGGGGGCGCAAGGGGAATCCCGCGCGGTGAGACGAGCAGCTGGAGCCAATCTTGGGCCCGGCAGGACCCTGCTCCCAGAATGCACCTTGTATCAACACGGCGGCTGTAGCGGCTTCCAGGAGGGTCCGGGGCGCCTAGCAGACTGGCACAGGGCCCGAGGGCCATCAGGCGGGGCCCGGGTGTAGAGGGTCGGCTGCAGCCATGGCGGAGTCGGCGCCTGCTCGGGTAAGAAGCACCCTCGCGCAGCCTCAAGGGTGCGTTCGGGACGGCGGAGCCCCTGGCCGGGGCGGGCCTTCGCGGTCGGCGCTCAGTCGGGGCTTGATTTCCAGGGGCTCCAGCTGACGCAGGTGAACACCGACCTTCTTTCTCGCGACCCTAATGCTTTGCCCTCTTTCTCTCCGCTTCCTTCCGCGTTGGGGTCGGAGCCTCGGCGCTGCGCGCCTTTGCCTAGAAACTTCTCCAAGGCTTGTTTTATGTTCTTGGATTTGTGACCCTGCCCACACATTTTATCATTTGTGCCAAAAGAGAACCCGTTTCCAGGTTGGAACGGGGGTGCAGGTTGGAAACCCTGGGTCTCCATCTCTACCGGTGAGCTCACCCGGTGCCCCGGAGACCCCAGGACTCACTGCTTCTCTGTGACTAGCTCATTCTTGGTCTGACGTGTTGCCTGTTCTTCTGCCACACTCTCTTGCTACAGATTTCTGTACTGTACAGATCGAAGTCAGGCTGGGATTCTTCTCCTTGGGAACACGTGTTACCCACAGTCTAGTTACTGGATTTTGCTTGTGGAGCTGTCCAAGCTCTTTCTCTTTCCGCTTCCCTCTCTCCCAACTATCCCCGTTCAGGGAATATCAAGATATGGAGCTTGGTCTGAGGAACATCTTGGGTATGGAGTCAAGAAACCGGAGTTCTAGGCCGGGCGCGGTGGCTCACGCCTGTAATCCTAGCTCTCTGGGAGGCTGAGGCGGGCGGGTTGTTTGAGCTCAGGAGTTCGAAACCAGCCTGAGCAAGAGCGAGACCCCGTCTCTACTAAAAATAGAAATTAATCGGACAACTAAAAATATATAGAAAAAATAAGCCAAACATGGTGGCGCATGCCTGTAGTCCCAGCTACTCGGGAGGCTGAGGCAGGAGGATTGCTTGAGCCCAGGAGTTTGAGGTTGCTGTGAGCTGGGATGACGCCACGGCACTCTACCCAGGGCAACACAGTGAGACTCTGTCTCAAAAAAAAAAAAAAAAAGAAAAGAAACTGGAGTTCAGCCACAACTCAGCTCTCAGCTGTCGGGTTGGTTGATTTTAGGCAACTTTGTTTACCTCTCTGGGCTTCTGTTACTGTAACTGTAAATTAAGAGTATTGGTCTAGTTGCTAGATGAACTCTTAAGATTCCTTCCAGCTCTGACATTCTCACACTATTCCAAAGTAGTGGTTAACTTAATAATACAGGAGGATTTGCTATGGAAAAGGCACATGGAATTGAATTGGTTTTTAATGAAGCATTTCTTGGTCCAGAAACACTTTGAGAATCATGTGAAGTCTTTGTGAGAATGGAGATCTAAGGAGATTCTGTGGTGAAAACTATACCATGAACAGGGCACGCTGTATTTTGTATTTATATTTGATTTTTGTAGGAAGTAGGTAAGGATTAAGAAGGGGAAGATTGGAAGACTTAGGGAACAAGTGTTTGCTTTCAAGGAAGTTAACAGTTGAATTGGGAAGACAAGATACAAATGTTTACAATACTTACCTCATCTGTCCCCTGTAAGCTAAGCTGATCCAGTCAAAGACCAGGATTTTCATCAAGACCAAATTAGTATTAGAGTGGGGCAAGAGGACCCTGCCAGAGTGCTTCTTCCAGAGTGGTCAGTTCACAGTTAGCTACATGTCTTCCGCAGACCTTGTTAGAAAGAAGCCTCAAAGGTCCACCAAAGTCCCAAAGTATGCTTTAAATAACTTATGGATTTTTCACTGTAGGACTATTTAAATTGTTCTTCAGCATATTTTTATTCTCAGACATCTCTTCAGGATTCTGTGACTCTCATTTGACAGTATGGGCCAGTTACCAAGGTACTCTTGAGGAAAACAACTACAAATGCTGGGGAAAACTCCCACATAAACATATTTGAAATGTGTGCTAGTAAATAATACTTGGAGCCCAAAATCTAAGTGAAAGAGAGAACTCTAAAGAGATAATCAGAGTTCTGAAGCCAACTATGAGGACACATGCCAAACATTTGTCTTTGGTGTTTATGACTTCAAGGAACCTAGCAAATAGAAGACAGAACTCATAGCCTAAGGTAGAGTATATCAGAAGCTCCCTACCTCAGTCCCATAAAGCTGAGACTCCAAAGGGCAACATTCTGTGTAAGGGTGAACTAAAAGTAAGTTCTTACCCCCAGGTGATTGCAAGGAAAATTGTGTCAAGCCTTCATACTGAGAGATGAGTATGAGGTGCTCCTTGAGAATTTATGGTGACCCTCATGTGAGTTTGTTCCCTGAATTCATACTACCTGGATGGTCCAAGAAACCTCAAGCCAAGAGTTTAGTATAAAGTAGAGCCCCCAGCTGGCAATTTGAAATAAACACAAATCTTTTTCTGAAGGAATCTACATGTAACTCAGACTTCAACTAATTCTCATAGATAAAGTTTCAGGAAGTATGAGTTCACAATAAAAAATTACCAAACAGGGAAAAACCACCAAGAGAAGCCAGTAAAAATAATAGAGAACAAAATTAGACCCTCAAAGATTTCATATGTTGGAGTTATCAGACACAGAATATGAATTAACTGTGTTTAACATATTTAAAGATAAAAGGAAGCATGGAAAATATGAGTAAAGGCCAAGAGACTATAAACATGACCAAACATATTTGAAAAATAATCAAATAGAACTTCTAAGAACAGAAAATATAATTAAAATTGGAAAGTCAACGGAAACCTTTACTTAGCAGATTAGACGTGCTGACAAGATAGTCAACTGAATGTAGTGCTAAAAAAATTAGCCAGAAAGCAGCACAGAGGAGAGAGAGAGAGAGATGGAAAACACGAGAAGGTAAGAGATATAGAAGATGAATGGGAAAATCTAAAATTCATTTAATTGGAATTCCAGAGGGAACACACAAACTCATACAAATACCAATACATAGAAACTCAGAGGATTCCAATCAGGATAAACAAAAAACTCTCTACTTAGGCACATAGTAGTGAAAGTACAGAATACAAGGAAGAGAGAATTTTTAAAAGCAACCAGAGAAGAAAGTCAGATTACCTTCCAGTGAACTACAGTAAGACTAATGGGGGCCAGCTTCTCAACAGCAACAATGGAAGCCAGGCAGCAGTTAAATGATATTGTCAATAGGCTGAAAGAAAATAACTGTGATCCCAAAGTTTTATACTCAGCAAAAATATCTTTCAAAAACAAGGATACGGTAAAGACATTTTCAGACAAATTAACACTGACAGTTTACTGACAATACACTCTCATTAAAGGAAATTCTAGGCTGGGCACAGTGGCTCATGCCTGTAATCCCAGTGCTTCGGAAGGCCAAGGAGGATCGCTTGAGGCTAGGAGTTCGATTCCAGCCTGGGCAACATAGCAAGATCCCGTCTCTACAAGAAATAAAAAAAAATTAGCTGGGTGCCATGGTTTGCAACTGTAGTCTTAGCTGTTTGGGAGGCTGAGGCAGAAGGATTGCTTAAGCCTAGGAGTTTGAGGTTACAGTGAGCTATGATCATGCCACTGTAATCCAGCCTGGGTGACAGAGTGAGACTCTGTCTATTTAAAAAAAATAAAGAGAAAGGAAATTCTAAAGGATGCATTTCAGGTAAAAGGAAAATTATCCCAAAAGAAAGCCTGAAAATGTAAGAAAGGGTGATGATCCATGAAAATGGGTAAATCTAAGCAAATATTGTCTAAATAAAACAGTTACAATTTCTTGTGGGATTAAAAACAAAGAGAAT